CGATCAGAGAATGATGTTATGCAGGAGCGAAACATTTCTCAAGGTTGATCCACGTTAGCAGAACGGTATCAGTATAAATAAAGTTAATTGTTGTTGATGTGATTTTGTTTTAAGGGAGATGTTTCAAACAGAAAATGCATTCATTGAAGTTACAGCACCAATCAATATCTGTGGCGATATTCATGGACAATTTGCAGATTTATTAAGGATTTTTGAACTTTGTGGACGACCACCTTACGAGGTGTGTGATCAGAAGCTGTGTGCTGAAATGATTTTATGGATTTGACGAGAGATGCTCTCAGAAATAGTCGAAATAACTCGCACCGATCACAGTCCACGATGACGACTCTAGATTGACGGGAAAATTGCGAAACGCCTACAAAATGCAACAGTGATCTTTAAGAGAGATTGTGAGAATTTTGTGAATGTGCACAAAACTGATAACAAATCAAATGAATTTCAGCGTTACTTATTCATGGGCGATTATGTGGATCGTGGACCGCACAGTCTTGAGACAATTTGCTTATTATTATCATTGAAAATACGTCATCCTGGTAAGATATTCTTGTTGAGAGGTAATCACGAATGTTCACTGGTTAATCGAACGTACGGATTTCATGATGAATGCGAAGAGCGTTTCAAGGGTGGCGAAGCGCTATGGGCCGAATTTCAGGTGATTTTTCGCTGATTGTGAGCGGGTTGCACCTTTAAACAGTAGTTGATTTTTTGATGGTTAAATCATATTCTCATGAGTCGTACTTAATGAATTCGTTACGGTTATCGAAAATAAATTGTAATTCATTGTTAAACTCAACTGATAGGTGATAGTAGTGAAATGTACACAAATGACGATTTTCGATTAATCTCACTCGTTAAAAATCACTTAAAAGTGATCACGAATGCATATGTCCGCGCATTTTCATATTAAATGTGCACATCGGTGTGAATAAAATGAATGACAAGCATGTGAGTGCTATCATTGAAAGCAAATGTTTACAGGAACTCTTCAATTGGCTACCTCTCGTCGGGAGAGTCGCGAAACGAATATTGTGTATGCACGGTGGTTTATCACCGGAACTTCAAGATTTCGGCAGTTTTCGACAATTAAGAAGACCTATCGATCCGAGTGGCGCTTGCTTAGAAACAGATTTACTTTGGTTCGTTTAGCGCAGTTCACTGGTGTTCTTATCGAGAGGACTATCATTGTCCCTTCACTGGAAATATTTTTTGAAAACAGTGATTCAAATCGACCATTGATTTTCGGTATTGTTTTGAAGAGATAAGCCATATTAAGTCAGTTATTCATCTGTACTGAGCAAAAGGACCATTCCAGGTCAGATCCTGATCCCGCAATGCCAAACGAGCCAAATGACCCCGAATTTGGGCCATCTTTGAGGGGTATTTCGCACCATTTCAGTAAGAAAGCTGTTGTTCGTATTTGTGAACGAATGAAACTCGATTTCATTGCGAGAGCACATCAAGTTGTGCAGGTAACGATGATCGACAAATAATCATTAGTTCTATGTTTCG